TTGGGCAGAAGAGCGCAACATGTTCTTGATGTGCCTCACATGTACAGGCAACGGGAAAAAGCATCAGTAGTGTTGATGTCTACAGAAAGCATCTGCAGCTCGCTTTCCCGAAGGCATAGAAAACGAGTCTACAGAATACGAGATCCTCCAGTTGCGGTGGTTCGGGGACGATTCCTTGAAGTTCATGGTCAAGGGTGTTCGCATGCAGGTTTACACACTATGAAGTGTTCGTCCCCAACAACTGCGTAGATGAAGTTCTCCAGTGTCTGAATATCAATCCTGGAAAGGATAAGAAAACCAGAGTAATATCAGATGACTGCTTGTGAATAATACGAGCTTTGAAAACTTCAACAAGGTTCAAGGCTCTATTCAACAAAATTCCTTAGTTCCACTGGCGATAGTCATTAAGGTGAAAATGAAATACTATCGACCAGTAACGAGGTTCCATTTCGAGTGGTAATCAAATTGAATAGAATAACAGACTGAGTGTGATAGCTCAGGTGTGCGTAGAGGTGTTTAGCGCGTATCATCATTATCATCATTGTCAGCTGTAATAACCGCGTCATTGTCGTACATTGGTTGTAGCTGCCATAGTTTCGTTCATTGATGGTGCTGGCTCCCGCTGCGCATTGGAGGTGGAAGCTGATAAATTAGTGCGTAAATACAGCACTGTAGGTGGACTGTTAAGTGGGGGATTTGGAAGTATGCATTGAATTGAAGGCAATAGCTTGGATGCATGAGCGCCACTGAGGGAGCGACTCGGCCATATCTGACAGTGTCTCCAATCATTGATATGGCCCATCTCTGAGTCCCATCCAGGAAGATGGCAACGACCAGCCTAGCTGCGTTTGCTGGTAATGGTATTGGGAGATAGAGCATCGAGGGCTTTTCTTATGGGAGATGAGATGTTCGGCGTCAATGTCTGGGTTTGGGAGAGAGAAAATTTGTGCAGATGTGTGGATCTTTGGCGTATACGTGTTTCAATCAGTCAACACTAAAATGATCAGGATGACCATTAAGGTCAGTGACGGAGAACGTAGCGGGACGACCGACAAACTGGTAGAGAGAGCCATATTGTAGTTATGCGGTTCTGCGAAAGTTACTAACACTAGTCATGAGTGGAAATCGCGGTGTTTAGATGGGAGTGCATGGTTTCATGTGTCGGTGGCGGTTGGGTGGAACATACGCTGCTTCAAACCGTGCGCATGGTGTGTGAAATTGAGCTAACCGGGCCAAGTGAGTCTAACCTCATCTCTGTCCGTGCTGGTCGATGTTAGTGCCGACTAGAAGTTACACCACTGAACCGCTACAAAATCATTTTGCTCAGTCAGAAAAGTCAAGGTTGCTAGAATGTGCTTTAACATATATCACAATGAACAAAGCATGATACATTATGAATTACTAAGTTCGTGAGGACAGATGTTTTACTCCTCACTCAGACAACATGTATAAACCAAGCAAATAACTTGTATAGGGTGAGGCGTTGTATTCGAATTTTCTATCTAAAGTAATCTTGTAACCAGGTGCAGGTTCAAACAGTACTGCTATCTTTTCTGTTGAGAAAACCTCCAGTATAAAGTATCTGATTTACGGCTCAACACTCGTGAGAAATTTGAAACAATGAACCTGAAGAACACCACTGTCCTGAACTCGTTTTAATGAAAATTATTTTAGTTAGTTTCACACTCTCCACTGACAGACGTGTAAACGGGTGAAGACTTCGGTCACCTGTGATGATTATTAGAAATTTAGAATCGGTCTTTGTTAAGAAACTAGCGAAGAAGCATTTTAATCAGTTTAGTGTTTACAAAGTTGAGAAATAACGTCAGTGGTAGAGTTGGGTTGCTTAATCGGGAGATACGCCTTCTGAAATTAAGGGAAGAGCCTGAATTAGTACGCGTCATTAGTACACAAAAATGGGTAAATCGGAAGTGCAAACACGACTATGGAGCCCGCTAATTACGACCAACATAGACGATCGTCTGGCGTACAAACGCTACCACTTCACAGTAGGCCAACTTTCGAACATCTTACCCCTTTTAAACACCAAAACAATGCAAGTTCCACATCCTGTGAGGATAAAACTCAGCGGCGATTGATTTCTCGATACAACTATCAAAGAAAATTTGCTGCCTCACAAAAGCCCCACACAATCTTTTGAAATTGTCGTGGACGGTCGGAAGTTCAGACTACTCGGAAGCATTTTAGGATAAGGATGTGAAAGTTTACCATATTGCAGGAGGAATCAAATGGCGGGTTTGTCCCATCTGAAAAAGGCACCACATCAGATTAGTTTACTTTAGTTAGTAACTGATGTATCAATCCGCTTCGTGACATACATAGTTCAGCTGTCAAACACCCAAGTGACCGAAGTTAGGTTACCTCAAACCCTGAGACGACATCAAAATTAATTGCCCAATTCGGATCATGTGTTGGGTTATCATCCTCTGCTGAATCCATTCTCTGATTTACATGCGTCATTTAACGAAATGTGCAAGTTAATCACACTGTTGATCAGCCGCTCCTGGCCCAAACGTTAATTGGTCAAACTACTAGCCGGAAATTCGCAGGTTCGAGGCTCTCTGGAGGTTCGTGAGATGCTCACAGCTGATGATTCCCCATAAGGATGAACCAGCTGTACGGTGCTTCTCGGCTTTTTCAGCATAGACTGACTTCACTTACAGGACGAACTCTCTACAAAAAACCCAAATCTCCTCACAATATCAACAAAATGGGAGCGGTTTTAGAAAAATACTCACTTGTATCAATATCACTCTCTTTTGAAAAGCACTCCCCTGTTGCATCTATTCAGGTGAGTTCGCATCAAACAGGAGCAGGAAGAGGGCCTTTCAAAGAAGGGTGATTTGGATGGAAATTCCTCAAATCCTGTACCCATCTGCCATAAATAATCCCAGAACGCATTGCCCAGTCTCAAATGAATAAACACAATCAAAAACAGCATGTGACTCAGCGGACAAAGGAACTATACAGAAAATTGTTTTACTAGTGTGAACTCACTCCGGCACACCACGAGAAACGTGAACCTTCCAATCCCCGCAGTACATTGTCCTCAACTTTACTGCAAGCCTCAATTTTTTCCTCCCAACTGGACATCTCGGAAGAGCGGTATCCAGTATCAGTTCCAGGAGTACCTCTTGCCATTCCTCTGACAAATCAGTTTGCCTAACTTCTGCAAATGCGCACATTGGAAATGGTGACACTAAGCGTTACGTGGTGTTTGCACTGCGGACTAACCACACATGCACACTGTTCGCAAAAAGGTTTCGTTGCCTGTCAGAACAGTCGATCGATCGCCAAAAAACGTGCACCTCTTCATTTGTCTGTGCTGCGCGCCTGTCTGTCCACTGCCTGTGATTGTGATATGTGCACCCTCCAATGGTCGCCCACAGAAACGATCGATAGATCGCATTTGTCAAGCTTGGTGACTCAGGGAGAGTAAAATGTTACTCTTGCATAAAGCGTCTTTCGACTGGGTTGATTCTAATGTTAATACTAGATCAAAAAAGTGTAGAAAACCAATTCAAAGAAAAGGAAAATCCCTTAACTGCTAGCATAGAAAACTTTGCTGACTTGGATCGCTACTCACTTAGAATATGAAGGATAACCGCTCAACCACATTCACAGGTTGTAGCAAGAAAACGCGTTATAACCCAAGAAACTAAATTGAGCATTAGCCTAACAGGGTCAAACTACTACCCTTCCATTCAATTTTCAAAAAGAAGCAGACAGATGGTGCTCTTTCCACTGAATTCGGTTTCCGGAAGGTATTATTACCCATCAGGACGATATTTAAACGCTGGTCTTACCTTACCTATTCAGGTACAGCGGCCTGTATGGGTGCAGTGAGTCTGCAGTTGACGCTGTTGCATGCCGGACGGGCTTGTTAGACTTTATCGTTTGCCAGAAAATGTACCAAAACGCAAAACGTTTTTATGATAAGAAAATACGTGTGTTTTCTGCCACTGTGTCGGCACTGGAGAGCTAACAGAAACATTGGAAACATTACATTCATAAAAGGATATACCGACGTTGATACTTGCGGTTGTCTGTGGTGAACAAGATCCACAGTACACGGATTTACAGCAACAGAGAGGGATGCACTGTAATGGTGGACGTATATCGTAAGTATTCATCGGATCATAGGTGACGGCACAGCTACAGTTCTCCTCATTTATGAAACCTATCCCAAATTGTTTGTCAAGCCACGTACCTCTCCTCCCAGAAAACACCAGTTGCAGATGAGTTCTTGCAACGCTGAGAGGTTTTGGGTTGATTACGTGGACAATAACAGAATGGGTTTGCTATGATGCGCGAGCTAGATTTTGAACGAATACACCAAAAAGTGACAGGACCCGTCACAAATAGACCGGCCCGTCCTAAATAGGAAGGACCGTACCGTCATGTGACGGTTTGTGTGCCTCCCTGACTCTTTGAGCTATGTTGACTGGTGTACAAGCGACAATCGCAGATTCTCTAATGACAGGTTGGTCAGCGGTCAGTGGTCTGAAGAACGCAGTTTCCTGGCCATCTAGGTTGGGGGTCAGAACATGTGTAGCGACTTGCTCCATAAAAATGGTAATGAAAATTCATTTTCGCCAAACATCACCGCCTTTCAGTGATCACCGGCAGCACCGGCTACTGCTGACGCCTCTCTTTCTACACTCTAAAGTTTTCTATCTTCTGTGCCACCCCACCAAAGTTTGAATGCTCTCTCTCCAGGTTCCAGTACTAGGACTGACCGTTGTCATCACCGTGCATCACACTCAGCAGCAGCTTTTGTACTTCCAAATTTAGTTACTTCCCTAAACAATTTAAAGACTGTTTCCGAATACCGAAATCCGGTATACTTAGCCGCCTTTACTGTCCGTACACTGAACCAAGCAGGACAACAGGTGACTCTTGCTGCTACTGGATTCCTTCTGTATTAAAATGAGCATACAGGATGCAAGTATTATGAGCGAAATGACTGCTCCCTAGCCATGTTCCTAGTTCCAGCTGCGCACGTCCGGTGGTGCAGAGGCCGCTGTAGCTGGGTATGCTGAGGTGGATACTGTATTGAACGGCCGAGCGGAAGCGGCTCACCTGGAAGGTAGTGGAGCCAGAAATCAAACGAAACTTTCTGAACCGACTCCTCGAACGCCTGGCGGACGGTCGGATACCGGATATCAATGGCCACCGGAAACAGTTATTCGCAGTGCTACTCAAACATGGAACTTCCGTTTGCCGTACAACCCAGCCAACCACATCCAAACATCGGATCTCTGATAGGATTGTAGCTTGGCTGGGGGCTCGGCGACAGATTCCTCCTGACCGAAGAGTATCCTCCGCGGAAAGACGATGGAAAAGATCCTCAGGTTTTTGACCACCGATGTCTCAGAGGCGTTTTTGACGTCCGATGACGTCAAAGAAGTCTTAAATTGAGGACTAAAAAGGGGATATTTGGATGTACAGCAGGTACATCAATCGCGTAAAACATCCAGCTCTTTCATGTCACACGCATGTCGAACGGTAAGCTATTCAGATAAACTTCGCTGTCAGTGCCTCCCTTAGAATGGCGGAAACCGTGAGGTGGACAATTTATGACTGGAAAGAACGGTGTGAATGATAATAGGAAGAGCTTTGGTGCTACACGCTTTTCAGGATAGAGTTCCTGTGATCGCTCCCGCGCTTGGATGCAGACATCACAAGAAATGTCAGCTGCTCGGAGTCAATAGCTTTCGTGCTGTCAGTTACTTTCCAGATTGTCCGACTGAGGGCTTAGGGCATCTCATAAGATTTGTGATAGGCCATCACCCGCTCCCCTACCCACCCATTCTTTCCGTTCTTTTGATTCTGAGCTTGAGGTTTTGATTGGATACACTCTGTGGTTTTACGGCAGTGAAGCATTACTGTCAACGAAGATGTTGCTCACGTTGATGATTATGATGACGCACTTACAGAGGTAGCGAAGCATTTCAAGAATGCTACTGCATGCTCCGAGTCCTATCCCAACAAATTCTTCAGATTTCTCTCCCTTCACTGTCATATTATGCATTTTGAGACGTAATAATTTAGCGTGTGGCGAACTTCTCTGCCACAGAACTTCACACCTAGCGCATGATTTTTATATTCCGCTGTTTGTTTGACTCTACGATTGATTCACAATGATAGCCGAAGGAATCTAGCGTGTGAGTCGCTCCACATAAATGATCACTGCTGTGAGCCGTGAGCCCACACGGCGCGTGTCGTGAAACAGTGAAATGCTGGAAAACAGTGTGAAGTTTATACATTTGTTGCTCATTCTGAATCGGTAAAATTCCTTGGGGAGATTCGCCCCTTTATTTCTCAAACTCTAGAATTCAGTTCTAAACGTAAGCATATTTTCCTATTGGAAAACCCATCGATTATCACGTATTCGTAATTTGGGAAGTATTTTCTGTGCGGCTTGAAGTAACTTTTATTCTTCACATGGTGACTTGAATAATATGGACTTATGTCAGGTGAACACATGGATGTTGAAGAAAGCAATTTTCGGGTGAACGAGATCACTTGAGTGAATTCCATATTGAAAGTTGCCTAAATTAAAAAAATTTCAGCCTAACCTGTTCTATTGGCAGCCTTGTTTCTGCGGCTGTAATGATCCCCTAGATTAGGTTGATGTTATCCAGATGTGATCATCTGGAAAAGAAACCTCTAGCGTAGGTTTTTCACTGCTAACGGTATTTTCAAGCAAACTCAAAAGAAAACACAACATTCAGGCGACCAGATCTGTCACGTTTGATTTCCTGTGACAAAGTTGTAGTTCTTTACATTGCAGAGGCACAGATGACTTCCTTTGAAAAGAAAATCTCAGCCTGAATCTATGCACACTTGGGCCGTTCATCTCTTGTCCTTGACATTGAAGCAGTCTCCAATACAGTTTTTCTACCGAGGATGACGATAATGAGAAGATGATAGCAGTGGCGACTTGCAGTAGTCATCAGGATTAGGGTTGGATAAAGATTCTGGACAGTGTGGCCCAACGTTATCCATACAACATAGCTAAATTTAAGGTACATTCTGGGGACCAGATAATGCTTTCGTCATGACTTCTTTTGTGATTGAATGGTTTTGAAGTGCTAAGGTGTAAGGAATAGAACAAGGTGGCTAATGACGAAGAGCACAACATTTCATACTCTGTACTGATTCCGATCGCACGACAGCACAGTTGTAGCTGGTCTTGTTTCTAGATGTCAAAGTCACGCGGTAGTAGTTGAATCGATAAACGAAACCACCAGGCCGGTCCTCGTTTCTCAACTGGACATGCGCTCATATAACCGGTCAAAGCAAACCAAGCTAGTCGTACTAGTTGATGGTCTGGTATAGTTTTGAACCAGGGTAGCGTTTGGCAGGATTTCTGCCATTTTCTTGTCTACCAACCTGGTTCTGCTGAAACTCATGGGCAGAAAGCAAGGCCCGCGTCTGCCGAAAAGGGTTCTATTGTCTCAAACGAGGCACTAAATACTTTATTTCTTCATCTGAGTTTGGCCTAGCTCGAAGTTCAGACAATATGTTATAGTTTTCAGACTTAGTTCTCTTGTTCCCACTAGGTGCGTTTCTAGTCGAGCAAGCTGATTACTAGAGAGTAGTTCAAATGTGTAGCCATTACAAAGCAGGCTGCACGTTTGTGGTCAGGGGATATGTGGAACTCACATGTAAGATCCCTACCCAACAATTCAATAGTACTTGGTATTCCACTGCATCCCCGATCATGCATGTGTGGCCTGAAATATCCTAGCTAATGAAACGCATGAAAAATGCCCTCTATGTGGGAATATATAGGATGTTAATACGTTTTACGTCACAGATAACGTTTCCATTATTTGGGAACGAGAGGAAACCCGTGGAAATTAGGACAGTTGTGCCTTTTGAGAAGATCAACAAAGTTTGCTTGACAGCGTTACTAAAAAACAGTACATGCGGTGGATTTGGATAGAGAGCATCTTTGGCACTTTATTGTCGGGGGTTGGAAAGCACATTTTCCTATGGCCTGCCATCAAAAAGTACCATCAAGAACCACATTTCAATGCACATAGCGGTTAAATTGCATCAGTCACTTCGGTCCCGTTTATCTGTTCAGAGTTGCGCCGGGAACATAGTCGGCTGAGAATATCAAATCGTCGTTTTTTCAACGTACCGTCAAAAAATAGGATCAGCCATTGAAAATCTACTGAAAAATGAAAAGCGGTAGAGCAAAGCACTATTTTCTTGAACTAGACAACTCCGGTATTCGTGAAGTACCCGTCGAAGGTCGTACTTCTCTGGCACGTGGTGGGTAACAGCCAAGAAGAATGATCAGTGCTTTTAAACGAGTTAGTGGGATTTTGAATCAAGAGAGATAGTGTACTGTAATCTGTAAAATTTAAAAGAAGCGGAAAACCCAACAGATCACATGGATGACGCAGTTCGTTGTTGGGCATGGTCGCTGGGGGACTGATATGAACCCTCAGCGACCATCATCATCATCATCATCATCATCATCATCATCATCATCATCATCATCATCATCATCATCATCATCATCATCATCATCGACAGCATGACATCAGTGTTCAACACCGATGCTTCACTGCCGTACCAGTGGGGTATCAGTGGGGTATTTGAAGCAGTGCAAACAAGAGGCTCGGGGGTATTGTAAACCCTAATAGTTATCCTCACTGAGCAGCATTTGAAGTTGAAGTTCATTTAGGCAGCTAATCTGAAATTGTATTCGATCCATCAGTTCCTTCACTTATATCAGTCGCTACTCAGGTGGACTTCAAAGGAAGAGATGCCTTTTGATCTTCATTTAAATTGTCGCCAAGGATTGCCATACCCGGGAGAAAATACCATGTGGCTGAGGGCGTTGACAAGGTCCTTATTTGAGGATCTTGTTTAAGAACCCCTCTAGTTGAATTAAGTGACCGTGTGAATGATTCTGCTGTCCATGGAGGAGTGAAGTTTCACTTAGAAAAAATGTGATCAAACTGAGAGGTCAAGAGTGGTGAAAACCAACGAGCCCGAGGTGTGGTTTGTAGCCATACAAAATCAGTCTTGTTGGAAATTTTCGGAATATTTGTTCGACCCAGAAAAATGAGCAGGTAGATACCCAAGCCGTCAGTATCATCGCGGAAGTTTAAATTAGATGAGACCATTTGCTACACAAGGACCGGAAGTTTCGTATCAGCCTTGAGGTGATGAACCAAACCAAAAAGAAATTCATACAGAAGACGCTACTAGTAATAGCGATTCAATTAACGCATACGACCGCAACTTTCTGCTCGAAACGGACAGCGATTTTCCTCTAGAAAAAAGTCCGTTCATTTATTCACTGATGAACCAGCGTTCCTGAAGCCTAATTGTATCAGAAGTTTGGTATTTTCCTAGCTGCACTATACAAACCTTTAAGCCTCAAAGGAGCATCTGTTAGGTGCAGCCCTAAGGTCCTGATTAATCCATGTCACGTGACTGATCTTTCCAAACGAATAAACAATGATCTGGGATTTGAATACAATCACTTCGTGTAATAACAAGGAAACTTTAGTTGTTGGTCTCCAGCAACATGAGAATCCATAAAAAGCCTTTACGAAAAAATTCACAATTCAAATTGTGGCCTATAAGGACCAATGACGAATTCATTCCCCAAAAATTATTTTTAACGTATCAGACTACTTATATCCTTCTCAGGACATTTCAAAACTCCGAAAAACGGATGCCCAGTTTATTATTATTCTGGAATGTCATTGAAACTGCCGGATGATATACAAAACACCAAATGCGTAATGCGCGATATGGGTATCAGACGCACTCGTAAAACCAAGGGTCGGTAAGTGCATCTTTTTTGTGAACTGTGGTAGAGTGGAGCGTTGAATACCAATAGGTTTGAAAAAAATCATTCATTACAAAACAGCTGTTACTCTTGCACAGAACTCACACATCACCTTAACCGGAAGGAACAACATTTTTTGCACAACTAAATAAGTGTTTTTTTTCTGAAAACAAATGCTGCAAATACGACGAAATGTCCACAGCTTGGTTATCTCTCTTCTTTAGCGGTGTCAGCAGCATTTTTCTTCTGATTATCTCAGAACAGCAGAAGCGTCGGCGGGATAACAGTCTGAGGCACTTCGCGTCGGGTTAGCCTGTATCTGGCATTTTTCTCTGATACAACTTACGAAATCCGCATGGCGTGTTCTGGGGTGATTAGCACACCTGGTTTACATGCGAGCTCAAATATTCAGTTCACAAAGGCTGCTCTATATGCGGCGAATTTCAGCTCTTGAAATCCAACACAGTTTGAGACCTTGGAAGATGAGTACGCGCATTGGATTCTCAATTCAGCCCGCTGTTATTGTGCGCTGGCTCGCGTGGCATTCAGCAGTTCTCGGTTCGAACGAATAAGGGTAAATTCTCCTAGTGAACACTAGTCTCATCTTGATGGATTGGGTTTCCCCAAAACCCATTCGCTTCATCCTCTGTTTTGGGCTCCAGAAGCGCTCCAGAAATGTATCCTTAAGGCATGCCGTTTGCATATTCGGCTGTGGGTGTTGATGGTCGATAGAGAATTAATCACAGAAAAACGGACGAATTGAGCTTAGGTGGACTTGTGGCCACTGTAACTAAGAATTGTCACCAAGATGTTCATTTGAAGCGAGAGCTATTTGTCTGAAATCAAAAATTGCAAATATCTTTCGGAGTTATTTAGAGAATGCACCTACAATAGCAGTGAAATAAGGGAACCAGCAAGACCAAAGGAATATGGATCCTGGATCCGAAGCAATGACTTATTATCATTTATTTTCGAAGAGCATGGTCACAAACATAAAAAGTGAGTGCAAGCGATGAATGCAAAAGAGTAACAGGAGAATATGGGAGAGAAGTGAGAAACGGCTCATTCGAAATCACGCCAAGAACAGTTCCAGTCTGATGAGGTGAATCCCAAAGTATGTAAAGATTTTGGTATGGGAACACACGTCTAAAGACCAACAACCAAAGAAAGGACAAACAATGGTGAATGATCTTCAAGGCGCAGTGTGCGCTTGCACAGACTAGACTCGCACATCAGGCACAAAGTGTCCGTCATACTGGGTCTGGTGTGAGATTAAATGGCAAAAATGTACATTCAACGCCATTTGCCACGCATAAAATTGTCATAAGTACACAGAGAGCACGCAATGGCAAGCAAACACAAGTCACAAGGACTGTGACCTTAGGAAGTCCCAGTCCAATAACAGCCTTAACGGATTGAGGAAAGCAGATCCCTCGATAAGAGATGATCACCGGTTGGTGAACCAAAAAGTCAACATCACAGCCGATTGCATGTAGGGATGAGATTATGGCGAGGGAATATTCATCAGCACCATACTTCTGCTTATTCTCATTCCACACGGTCACTCTGCGCACATCCGAGACCATGCTGACGTCTATTACAGTTGCACGGCGATCTCGAACAGCGATTAGGTCACGTGTGATGAAGTACGTCGAAGTAGGGGCTCTCAACTCCTCGAAGACGGTGTACCCCAGTCGACGGAGACGTTTTGCAAGTTCCCTTGCAACCCGATTATGACGAGCACATCTGGCATCATGCGTGATCCAGCAGGATTGCAAAATATGCACCAAACCTCCGGTTGGCCACAGTTTCCACGACATAAGATCGTCTGGCAACCATGACCATACCGAGCGCTTCTAACTCTCGTCCTAAGCAGGTTGCATCGGAGCTGGATACCCCGGATAAATATCCGTGGAAACATTCGTTCTGGGAATACGAGCCATCGATTCGAGAGAGGCGAAGTGACCAACTCTCGTAAACCGCGACCGTCAGCGCTGTTGTGCAGACTTTCACCCCAAGCAGCCACCAGCTTTTCCTTGGTGTTTACGCATGCACCATGGACTCGGATAGGAAGGCTGAGATCTCGAACAATTTTGCCAAATGCGGAATCGTTGATCACATTGCGTAGTACTCGGCACTGAGTAGAAAGGAGCTTTTCCATACGCGTTTTCCGCTGCATCGGGATTGTTGCACTCAGACTTGGGATACCAAGTCCCCCATGTTGTTTACCGGCGTGGATGTAGCTGATCGGGGTGTCCTTCGGTAGACGTAGCCAGCCACGAATATACTGCCTGATGTAGTTGTTCAATCTTTTTAGCGTGTTCCTGTGGACTTTGCCGAGCACGAGCGAATATGTCAGCCTTGGTTTCAGGTAGTTCCTCGTGATATCCATTATTTGATGCGGCTTCAACGGGGCACGCGTCATTTCTTCGAGCAGTTTGAGTAGGTGCTGTCGGTGGTTGAAGACCCCTTTGGGAGTAAAGGGTATGTCAAAATAGGTTACGGTGTCTGTCGGACCCAGAGGAGTGATTAGTTCCTCGGCAAAGCGAAATGGTTCGACTGGGACTGCTGTTGCCCGATGTTTCCTGTCCCCACAAATCACCGTCGCTTTCGTCTTTCGTGCGTTTATCTTCACACCAGCTCTCCCCAGCTCAACCGCAGCAGCTTCAAGCTTCTCTTTAAGGCGTGACTGACTTTCTGCACACACGACCCAGTCGTTAGCGAAAGCAAAAACATCTACTGAGGTGTTATGGACATCGACAATCCAAGAACCTCATCCATTGCCATAATGAATAATAATGGGGAGAGTGGATCCCCTTGCCCCACACCTCTGTGGCAGTGAACCTCGGAACTGGGGAAAACTGCTACAGCATTCTCGTAGGACTGTGCGATGTATCGAACTAGAGGTGACGGAGCTCCAAACGCCTCGGCAGATCTGACGATTGTGTCATGCGAAACCGAATCGAACGCTTTCGAGATATCGACAAACGCCAAACTGAGGTTAGAAGCAGTCACTGAAGAGTGACGAAGCAGGGCATGCAACAGCGATGTGGCTTCCAAACAGCCGTCTCAATGCAGAAATGCTAACTGAAGTGAGGGTAGTTGCAATCTACGACTCCAGCGGTCAGCAAGCACTTTATGGAAGCAACGAACATGAATGGATGACACAGAGATCGGTCTCAGTTGATCCGGTGACGTCGGATTTAGGACCTTCGGAACTAGAGTAATACGGGCTCGACACCGATGTGGGGGAAACGCTCATATAATAACAGCAGGTTGAAATACCCAGCGAGCACATTAGCATTGAACCGGCTGAGCATCCTGGGTGTGAGCTTGCCCAGGCCCGGGGACGAATTGCCCATTAAACGGATCGTACGGCCGACTTCCTCTCCTGTAATTGGCTCGATCAAGCTCGAGTCGGATGGAACTACTATGCGACTTGGTCGGCTATCCGCGTGTTTTGGAGCTGAGAGCACTTGTTTCCAATACTGCTTAGCGTCCATAGGTAGGCCGAAGTTTCCTTTGTATAAATCCTTCCATGACCCATCGAGCACAGCAGACGCTGCATCTTTCCGTCTTAGGTAGTATACGGTCTGGATGGCGGCGTAGTTTGCTCGGCGGATCTGCTTTCGGTTGACCGGGATCCGATGGGCTAACTGACGGCGACGTCGGGAAACAGTTTTCCAGGTGTGTGGAAATGTCCTGGAGGCGTGGAGGTTCAGAAGTGACAGGACTTGCTCCGGTGTCATGATACCAGACTGCAACCCTCGGGCAAATGCCAGAAAGTCAACACTAACAAACGAACGGTCAGCATGGGATTCCAAGTGTGACACGGCGCAATCCACGGTTTGTTTAAACCAGACGCTGCAGTCATCAGCTTCCGATTAGTAGGCCGTCGTTTGATGAATAGTTTGCTCAGGTCCAACAGATGATGATTCGTCCTGTTGTGCTTGCCAGTTAAGCACCCGTAACCTGGTTTTAATGCTGATAGCCGATCGACCAGGAAAATACTGCCCCATTCTCGTGAACAGCTCATTTTGCGTGCTACAAGATGAATATAAAGTGTTAGCCAGGCGTAAGAGCGATTGCGACTCTTGCTGGGACCAGGGGGTACCGGAATACTTCACTCGGCCAAGCTTATCTGCATTATGCTGGGTGGGGTGTGCGCGCCGGCGATGTTGACTTAGGCCACTCTTCGTCGGAAAAAGGTGGGAACAATCAGCGCAGGCCAATGGAGCAACCGTGTTCGTACCAACAGTTTCATTGTTGTGTACTCGATGGTGGGCTAACAAGCCAGCTTTTGATTTGCAGCACTTGCCAGATTCCTCACACATGAACCGAACAAGTCTCTCCTGTGTACTAGTTGGAACTGGTGCGGAGGCGCCAGATGATTCGTAACATACATTGTCGAAAGTAACCAGCACATTGGAACCAATCGGGGTGGTTAGCCCTGTCTGGAGTTGCTGAACTTGTAGCTACCCTTTCGCCACACACAGGACTGTACAGGTCACCGAAACTCGCTAGATCACGAGATCTGTTTTTTTCTTACACTCGCAAATCACGCCACAGAATCGTGACTCACTTGACTACACAGCTCACAGTCAAGCCCTTGGGGTGACTCGTCTGACATTGACTGTCTACCGTCCGATCAGGTAGCAACAAGTCATGTGCTGACACCCACACACACGCAAACGTCCCTACATATAGGATAACAGCACAGCAACACAACACAACTCAGCAGAGCTTCTCACGCCGCGCAACTCGAAGCAGAGGCGCTCAGGATTTACGGCGCTTCAATCACGGATACTCAGGAATACGTGTGGCTGCTACAACAGCGAAGAAGACACGAAACCTGCATCCGGACTTACAACAGGATTTATCAACCTGTACCTGCAAAACGATAAGTCCCTTGTTTGCATATACACCTGTTGTAATAATTTTACTCAACAAGCAGACATTGTTAGTGCACTCCGTTTTCTCGTTCATACAACTAGTTTTCTGGTTCTAGTTGAGCATTAACAAACTCTTTGCTCACCCAGACTGACGTCCAGGCTACCAGTCGGCAACACGAGGTAGTTCAGCTTGTCGACTTAATCCGTAACTTCATGTTACTTTCCTAAACTAAGTAGTCAATTGCGTAGTTGATTGTAACCATTAACGAGTTTCTTGGAGGGTTAGTATGTAGCACAATTCGGCCCACTTCAGGGGTCCCGCGGGATGTTGTGATGAAACAACACATCTTTTTTGGTCGAATGTCGTAATCGCGCATCAATCTACTGCTAACGAGCGATTCAAAGGGGAAATATAGATAT